GAACCACATAATCATTCAAACCAGCATTGAAGCGCTGGAACATTCATTGCGAGGCCCATGGTCTCCGACTTTATCAGGATGAGCTGGCCGAGCATGTCCTTCGTGAAGGTTATCGGGCCGCTCGCTTGAAAAGGTGAAGAAATGGCCAACATGTTGTTTTTTGTTTTGCCAGACCGCCCAGTCAGCGGGTCGATTGGGCCGAATGGAATCCAAGCATTTTGTCCGCCTGCAGCCGTCCTTCCATAAACCTGTCCAAGATCATCCCCCACTCCTGCCCGTCAGTGGGGCGGTGCTGGGTCTCATAGGCAACGTTGCTCTCGAGTGCACCTGCAGTCGGTTGAGTCTCTAACGCGGCAAGCTCATCATACAACCGCTGCATTCCAAGCTCATCCTTCAGATGGGCCATGTTTCCAGACGAATCACGCGTCGCCCAATGTGTCTCTACGGACATCTTCCGGGGGCCAACCTCGGAACGCACTGCGTTTGGAAAATTCGGAACAGGCACAATCAACAACCGATGATCACAACAAGTGTGACCTCACCGCTCGATCAAAAATGGCCACGCACGGATGGGGCCGTCTTGGGGCTCTCTTCGGGCCCGTTTGGGAGCTCTGGAAGGCCTCTCAAGGCCATCTTGAAGGCCAGCGATCAAAGGGGGAAATGGCGCGACGTTCAGCCCCCACGCCCAGGGGGCCAAAATGGAGACAACAACATCATAATAGAACCAGCGATGTTGGTTTCCTCGCCGAGGCCGTTTTGAACGCCCCCGCGCCCCGCGGGCCCCCCCCCCCCCAAAAAAAAAGAAGGGGGCGGGGGGCGGGGCAATCCCCCCCCCCCCCCCCCGCAGGGAAAGAGAGGTTTCTGGAAAGAGGGAGGAGGAATCTCGTTAGACCACCTGCGCCTAGAGGGCTGGCGGGATTCAATATGCACATTATTCGCGATGATTGATTCCCCTGGCCCGGGGCGCGGTCAACCGCGTTTTTGGCCGACCGCGTTTGCGCGCACCACAGCGCCCGCCCAGCTTGCGCCACGACGCCTTGCACACCACAACTTCCTGTGTACACCGCTGCGCCTGTCTACGCAACAATGCCTGCGTACACCACAACACCCGCGCACGCCACAACGCCCGCGCGCACCGCGGCGCCCGCGCACACCACGCACACCGCCTGCGAACACGACGACGCCCACGTGCACCACGGTTGCTGCTTCCGCACCACGCTCGTGCACCACGATTCCGGCGCGCCGAAGTGTTTGTGCACGCCGCAAAACTGCGCGCACTTCCAGGGCCCCCAGCAGGACCGAACTCCAGAAAATCGCGGGGAATCCGAACGCATCATATCCAATATGCACGCTATTTGTGATTATCGATTTTTCTTGCGCACGGAACGGCCCCGACTTTTGGCCCCACAACGCCTGCGCACACCATGGCGAACGCGTGCGCCGCAGCGGATGCGTCCACCGCAGCGCCTGCGCACACCACGAGGTGCGGCACACCGCAATGACAGTGCAACACAGTGCTTCTACACACCACCATGCATGGGATGCCTGCGTGCATGATAACTGACGTCGCAGCAAGTGTCGCGCAGACCACAAGGCCTGTCTTCGCCGCATTGCTTGGGCGCATCACGATACCCGCGCGCACCGCGCGACATGCATGCACTTTACGTTTGCGCGCACCACAACGCCTGCGCACACAACAAAACTTGTTGCAGTAGCAACAAATGTTCGCGCCTTATCGCTTCGCTGCCCGTGCACAACGCAACGCCTGCGTACGCGCTGCTCACGTGCACGTCCAGATGCCTATGGTTGACGTCGATCGTCGTCGGTCGTCGGTGTCGTCGTCGTTCGTCGTCGTCTATCGTCATCTATCATCGTCGTCTGCCGTCTGTCGTCGTCTGTCGTCTGTCGTCTGTCGTCTGTCGTCTGTCGTCGTCCTCGTCGTCATCGTCGTCGACATCGGCGTCGTCGTCTTCGTCTCCCCGCGCAACTTAAAGCCCGGACGTTTCGCCCACGCGAGTCCGGGCTGCGGGGGGCACCACCGCGCCGTTGAACAGAGCGCCCCCCCGCAAGCTCTCTGCGCCCCCCCTCGGACCTGCACGCCCAGCTATGTCGGGCAATCCTGGGGGGGGGGCGGGGGCGATAACCCGGGCCGCCGCCAGACCCTAGGAAGAACAATCGCAGGGAGGGCGACGGCGCCGCACTTGCCACGGTTCCGCTCCGTTGGGGCGCCCACAGGAGGCGAACGCGGGCGCCCCGAGGGCGCGAAACCGCGTCAGAACATTGCACGCTCACCTTCTCTGACGACTCAGGGTTCAGGGTCCAGGGTTAAGAGATGAAGGCTTCTCGGCGCGCAGCGGCCGACAGTCCACGGCAAGGGCGCCCTCCGCTCGGCAAGTTCGATTGCGGGTCGCCCAGCCGACCCGACCAAGCTTGCCGACGACGCAAGAGTCGCAACAACTTCCCACTCCCAGCGGAAAAGCTGGCAACCCCCTGAACTGCTGCCTGTCAAGAGCTCAGGGACAAGAGCCCAAAATTCCAACCATCTGACCGTTCGCCGAGGGCGTGGCGCAAAACGCAACGCACACGTCGTTGCAGAAACGGCAGAACACAGGATGTCGCAGGCACGCAGAGCCACAAATGATGGTCTCCGCTGGTTCCTGCCATCTGGGCCTGGGTCGCCCATGACTACAACGTGCCCAGTTCTCCCTCTGCACAATAGCTACCTCGGCTGCAACTACTCCGCGCCCACCTCGTCAGCGCGCCAGAGTGACATGGCGAATCGTCGCGCGCCCCACGATCCAGCACTCGGCATCCCGCCGCGCGCACGCAAGCGCGACATACGCGGCAGCGCGCATGCCAGCCATGTCCAGCTAGAGAGCAACGCGCTGCACCGTAGCTCCTCGGACCTTGCGCAGCGTGGTCGCGCGGCCCAGGCGCAGCGGATAATGAACAGCATGCTTCTCCGAAGGTCGACGGGCGCACGCTAGTATGACGCCCTTGCTCCGTTCAAACCACCACGGAATTTCCGCTGGTGCCCATAAATAACACCACCCATGCCGTCAACGAAGACCACGCCCTGGTTCAAGTTCTTCGTCGGAACTCTGGCATGTCCATGAGGGCCGACGCGCCCGTCGCCGCGCTGCAAGCGATTTTGGACTCCGTGCAATTGTCTGGGTTGCTCTCCCGGTCCGGTGGCAACACCGCCAGAGCGGGGGCATCCGAGAAGTAATGCTGCACGGCTGAATTGTTCACGTGGGCGCACGCCCGCCGCGTCTCCGCGAGGCACGGCGCGTTCGGCGTCTCGCCCACCCGGCGCCCTGCCGACGTCCTCTACGGTTGGCCCCTGATCCGCCTCGCACCCAGTTCCCGTCGGCGCTTCGTGCCCCTTCCCAACGAACCTCCCCTGGGGCGCACTCGGCTTCGCCGCCCGCGAGATCTAGTTTCTTCCGCAGGAGATTGCATTCGCAGCGGACCACTGTCGCGAGCGCGCGTCTACTCCACCCCCAGCAACTAGTAAAAGTCCCCGAGGAAAGCGCGCTACAGCGAGCTCAGCCCCTCAGAAATCCACCGCGGCAGCTGCCCCACCCCTCCAAGATCACCAGGTCGTAAGGAATCAGCACTGCACCGACCTCGCAGACGTGCTGCAGCGGATCTTTGCGCGGATTTATGTCAGCGCAAAGCCCCGGGAAGGCGAGCGAAAAACGAAATTAATGTCACGTGGGTTCTTCTTTGCTTAATTCCTGGACCCCCAACAAAACGCAAAATCCACCTCGAAATCCGAAACGAAATTCCCAGGGACACCCCAAGCCCATCCTATCGTTTTTCCAAGCAAAATCCGCTCTGCAACGTAAATTGACGCCATGAGGATTTATGAGCTCCAGAGTCTGCTGCTCTGGCTTGAACAGCACGAAGGCGCCGCGAATCGCGCCCGCGTCCAGGCGCGGGCACGTCGCGCGGCACATCGCAGCAAGCCGACCTGTAGGCGCCACACCGAGCACCCGCGCGCCGTTCGCCGCGCACTCGTCGACGGCGCGCCTCGCAGCCTCGGTCTCGCCGCTGCCTGCTGGCCCGAGGACTGCGATAATCCGGCGCTCGGGGGAACAGCTGTTCAGCGACGCCGCCATCGCGCCCACGCCGCGCCGCCGCTCGAAGTCCCCCACGTCGCTGGGCGCGCCGGCTGGTCGGGCTCCGCCCCGCCAGTCGCCCTCCGCGGCCGCCTCCGCTTGCGCGCTGGCCCAGACACAGTTCACAATGGCATTGGTCGCTTTCTCCTGCTGCCGCGTCGGGGCGTAGATCCCCCGGTCGCCCTCGACCCCCTTCTCGCAGCGGTCGACGGCGCACTCCTCCTTGGACAGCTCCCCACAGATGCACTCATCAACGAAGCTGGCGAGCGCACGCAGCACGGCGGCGACGTTGGCGACGCGGCGCTCGCGGAACGAACGCGGTCTGGATTGCGCCGCGCGCCGGGTCGATGGAGCAGCTCCAGAGCCCGGTTCCGGAGATGATCTGGGACGCAGTCCATCTCTGAACGCCACAGGTCGCCGACTGCTCGGAACGGAACATTGCGGAGCACCCACTGACCGCAGCACCATCCCCCGCACCGCGACAGGCAGCTGGCCGCGATGAGCGCGCCACCTCTGGGCCGCACCTTCCGCGCGAACTCTTGCAGGTCAACGATGCGTTCTGCAGTCCGCTCTTCGGTCTGCTCCATGCGTTTCTTGCGATGCCGTCGACATCCAGCGCCGCGCCTCGCCGTCGTCGTTCGCATTCCCCAAGTACTCCATCAGCGTCATCTCCCTGCCGCGCCACGGCGAGCTCACGCACTCCTGCGCCACGGCGGGATGCTCGGCTTTTTCCCGCGGCACCGGCACGAAGAACATCCGACACGACCCGCTGGAGAACGCTTGCGGAAAACACCGCTTGGCAAGCTGAAACCCCGTCTACAGCCCCAGCGGATGGCAGTCGGTCAGCACTCTCCGCGCAATGGAGGATTCGCTCACCTAGTCCGCCAGCCACTCGTCGCAGAAGGAATCCGAGAACTTGGGCGCGTAGGACGCGACGCAACACAGGAGCACGCCCACCTCGTCCGCCATCAGCACGCCCACGCGACCACACACGGCGCTCAGCAGGTCGACGAGGCACGCGCGGACTCCTGCTGCGCCGCCGTTCACTTTCCGCCGCACGCGGTCAGATTTCGAGCGGCGCAGCCGCAGGGCCCCCGTCTCCCGGTCGCACGTGGCTGGGCCTTCCTCGCGGACACGCCAGCCGCCCCCCGCGCTCCGAGGACCTTCCACCAGCGCTTTCAGGTGCGGGTTATCGTCTGGGGGACGCGGCGGCGATCACCTTACCCAGCTCAACGCACTCTTCGTTCTCAAGCCGCACGAGGAGGTGAATGTGCACGGTGCCACGGACGTGATAGAACTGAGCCGCCGCTTCTTGCTCGCCCACGCACCTCTTCCTCTTGCCGTCCTGGAACTCCGCCCTGGCGAAGTGGGCGCGCACCGTGCTCTTCCCGCTGCCGTCCTTTGCCCCGAACACGCGTTCCCCCCAACCCTTCTGCGACCCCGTGCTGTTCGCGCCGGTCAGGAAACCCCCCGCGGTCTGGCCGAGAACGCGGGCGATGCGCAGAGTCTCCGCCATTGGCAGATGCGTCTTTGACTGGAGCTGCTTCGCCATCTCGTCCTCCACCCAGTGGGCGCACGGGACGGACCACTCGCATGGAGCCACCGTAATGAACATCGACGGCAGCCCCAGCTGCTTCACCGCATCTATGAGTGCGCCGTGGGGTACTTTCCAATACTCGGGCGTGAAGCTGCGCCCGCCCATGGCCAACCGCATATCGGCATTTGCCCCGAGATCGCGTTTCGCCTGCTCGAATTCCGTGGGGTAGTCCACGTGAGGCCGGCAGTCGCGCACCGCTGCTTCAACATTGGGCTGCAGCTCCCTCGCGTGGTCGGACAGGTTTTCCCGGCGTGCTGGCCAACGAAGACCACAACCACAGGTCGCCCACAGACCGCACGAGCTCTATGTCCGACCCCGGGCCGGTCACGGGGCCCAGCACCCAGGCAAGCAAAGACGCCTTGGCTGAGTTTCTGTTAGCCGTCGCGTTGCTACTACTACTACTACTACTACTACTACTACTACTACTACTACTACTACTAGTACTACTACTACTACTACTACTACTACTACTACTACTACTACTACTACTACTACTACTACTACTACTACTACTACTACTACTACTACTACTACTACTACTACTTACAGCATTACTACAACTACTACGTCTACGACTACGACTACGACTACTACGACAACTACTACTACTACTACTACTAC